ACAAACAGCAACTGCAATAAATGAACAAATGACATTGAGTAGTGCAGCAAACAATTTTTTCCATCAGTTTTGTGGAAAATTTTCCAATAATTCTCCATATTTCTTTAAAGTCAAAGTAGTTGTTTAAAAGCGCCTTACACCAATTAAACTGATATCTGAGTGGATACTTACCTGTTTTCCTAAACAAAATTCATTGGCATAGAAGCCAAGCTTTGAAAATAAGTTAATGGATACAGTATTACCTTTGATTGCACGGTTTGGTTCATCTTACGGTCTTTTTATCTTGAGGTAGTAACATGTCCTTCTAAAATCTCTCTCTTCTTGTTTTGTGTACTGGATCTTAACAGTTAAAAGTTAGTGATACTTCATTGGAAGCATGCCAGTCTTTTATATAATTCTAATGTACATTGTTTTCAGTAATCTATATTTTAAGAAACACATTATTAGCTTTATTTTAGATTTGTAGCAGAAAAATCTCACTTTGGGGAATCAAAACCTATTCCCTTATCTGCGAATGTTTACCCTGCTGAAGCATGTTTCGTTACCAGTGGTGATGTTTTTTTCCTGGCCAAGGTGCGTTCGTCCAAAACAACATGCTGCATCACATGGAACGTTTTTGTTTACATTGACATGGAGCATTTTATTGCATTGGGGAGCAGACGTAAGATATGACTGGCCACCAACTTCTTGTCTAGATGTGCATGAACATCCTAAGACAAAAAAAAGGAAAAAGTGCACAATTAGCTTCTACTTCTGTCTTTTTATGTTCTACCAATCCAGAAGTGATAACCTCTATTCCTTGAACTTAGGCTTTGTTGGCTCATATATGATGTGAGCCCCACTTATGTGACCAATCTCATGTTCATGTCTTTTTTTTTTTGTCTTGAGGGCTTGCTAATGTATTAACACATGAACCTTAGATACAAACCAATGTTCCCAAAATCTTTGTCCACTTTGAAGCAGGAAAACTTGGTCGTCGATCTCGTTTCAAACTCTCCGATGAGTTTATAAGCCCCTTGGACCGAAGAAACATATCCAAAATTCTCATCAATTTTCCTATCGAATTTGGTTCGTAACTTAAAATTCCCACCATGTTGTTCCTGTTTGTTTCCCAGGAATGATGGGATTTGGATGTTCGGTTGTTCGTGCATATCATTCATACAATTTCCGAGAATCTTCGGTTGTGACTTTTTTAAGTTATTCAAAATTCAATCTCAGTTCCTCTCGATCAATGTGGTTTTAGTGGGTAGAATATAATGCCGACCTCTAAGTTGAGCAGTGGGCAGTGCAGAGTGAAAGAAAGTTGTACTCCAGTGTGCAGATTTGGATGTTCGTGTTGTGGGTGAGGCTGGTTACTATGAAAATAATACATAGGTGCTGGAAGCGACAATAGCCAATGACATCCGGTCGGTATATTTAATTGATGGCAAATAGGTGTGGTAGCATGTTGTTGACAATTTTTGTGCCACAGGTTTTGGCAGAGGCGCCTGAGGGGAAATTAGAGGGTGGTGGTTGCTGATTGTGTTGATTATTCTGGGAGTCACCTCCCCACTTTTGCTGCAATTCATGATAAATAAATAGGTACGCAATGTGTACAGGTGTCTACTGCGAAAGTTCAGGTAATGGAGCAAAATAAGTGTTGAAATTTAGGTCTCCTTTTATCAAAAATTAGAGAGGGTGTTTGTACTATTTTGTCGTATTGTTTGAGACCTATTTCAATGTGGCAGTGTCTACTGTGTGGTTGTTTTTGTTTTATAAAGGTAGCGTTTGTTTTGCTATTGTAATATAGATGCTCGGGTATCTTGGCAAGAGTGTTTAAATGAAATACGACCTTTACGTCAAACACAATTAATAGGGGAGGGGAAAGTCTTGTGCTATTTAGACAAACATTTTTGGTGGTTCGTGTACCTTTTTCGCGGCATCTTAAATTCCGCATACAGCTTGTGAGAAGGCCATTTTTTTAGACAATTTGGCTGATTTGTCTTAAGAAATGTTTCTCAGCCATATGTTATGTACTTTAAATGTAGTGCATGGTTCCCGAGATGACCGGACATTTATGTACCTTGAACGATTTTACTTGAGAAATGTTTGGATAGAATTTAAACAGGTACAATAAATGGTTCCTCGTTTCTTTTGCATACAAATACACTTTATGTAGTGCAATCTGTTTTCTGCTGTTCGCCTGACCCACTATTGTATTTTCAGTTACAATAATTGAAGATACGAGAAAACCAATAGTTGAAAATACACTTGATTATTGTAATATATTACACAGTTGTACAAAGTAAATGTAAGCTTCAG